TAAATTTAAATTATGCATATATGAAGAAATAATATATATGATTGCTTGTTTATAAAATATGATATTTTAATTTAAAATTTGTGTATAGATCATAAAAACAATATGTTTTCCCGATCTTCTGCCAAACAGCCTTGTTTGATAGATTATATGTAAATGATTGATTTTTCATGGTTTTTTTTAATCAACATATTCTTACAATATAGAGCTCAATAATACACATCTATATATATATAAACAGATTTACCATTTTTTAAGAATAGTAAGTCAAAATTCTGGTCAAATTCGGACATATTAATTATTTACTATTAATGGAAACGTTTTTTCTTTAGCTATTATTTTAACATTCCTTTAATCACGGATAACTTAATTAGTTGCATATCACATTAATTAATCACATTACCAAAAAAATCGGCGTCCTATTTGTTTGGATAGCAAGTGAAATTTTTGAACTGATTTAAATTTGTTTAAATTGATGGGATAGCAAGATATTTTATAGAAACAAATAATCCCTCAATTGAAGGGATTTAATATTCAAAAATACACAATCCAATCAATATTTTACCGAGTCTGTTGAGAGATTCTATACAATTGTATATAATTAAAAACTCATTTTTTTAATTGAAGGGATTTAGAATTTTAAAACTCATTTTTTAAATTGGTTTATCCGATAATTCAAATAAACTAAAATCCCTTAAATGAAGGGATTTAATGTTTCTGCATCCAATAAATACCGTACATAGTAAACAGAAAAATACACCATACACGCATCTATAAAATACACATTCCCAAATATCAAAAACAACATCATTCGGCAATGGAAATCTCCTTCGGTGTGATTAACGTATTCGAAGAAATAAGAGATATCCGCTAAAACTTCATGTGGTTTCAATGAATGAGCACGAGTCACCAGATCTTCGACACAACATCTTGAAGATCCTTTTTTCAAGATAGGGAGGTATTTCTCTATTTAATTTTTATTTATTACTATTTTAGCTACATACACTATCATGTTGTTTAATCATAAATTTCTTATATTTGTAGGGGGCACAAATCAGTGGTGTGGTATGCAATGTTTATATTTCGAGGATGATAAATGACCTACAGGAAGGCAATGTCTATTGTATCCGTAATTATGAATTGGATAGTAACTTCGGTGACTATATGTCGACCACGACTCAATTCAGATTGATCTTCCATGGACGCACTCAAATCGTACAATCAAGCACTTCATTCGAATGACCCGACTATGGAATCAGCAAAAATCTGGGAATGGCAAGGCAAAGATATATAATTATCATCATTAGGCAATAATATGGACGAATGTTGTCAATCTACAATGAGAATTTATTTTTTCCTATTCAATAATAGTTTTATTTTAATATTATATTTTATGGTTTGAGAACTTGAGATGATTGAATAAAACATGTTATTTGCTCTTGAATATATTTTGTTTTTGGTTCATGCATGGTATTACATATTTTATTTAACATTGTTTATTCATTCTTTCTTTATTATTTAACTCAATTAAAAACATCATCGTGCAGACTAATACATTCATAAACTTAAAAAATAAAAATAACAAAATTAACCGATTTTTATGTAAAATATTATACATATTCGACATTTTGTTTTTGTTTTCTTATCCCCATTTGAAACTGAAATTTGCTTTTGTTTAGGTTTTCTGGTTCGTAATCTATAAACTATTGAAATTCTTCCTAAATATTATTTTTCATATAAAAATATAAGAATATAAATAATTAAATTTGTCATTAATTTGCAAAACAACAAAAAAAAGAAAAAAAAAAAGAAAAAACACAAAACACGTGCTTATATTAATTTTAAGAAATCAAAGTAAAACAGAGTTTGTTAATGACCAAACTCTTTAGAGCTTATCCATTTCAAAAAGAATAGATTAATTTTACATGATATATAAAATTTAAGAATTCAAATTAGAACATAGATTGTTAATGATCCATTTCAAAGAGAATAATCTATACTGTAACCGTATTTAATTTAATGTAGAATCAAACAAATTATAAAATAATATATTGGATATTTTAATAGTTAGTATTTTTATATTAACTATATAAAATTAAAACGTGTGCTTAATCAATATTCTTATTCAT